CATGAGCCCTTGATAGTTTATAAATGGGTATTTTGTCATATCTTGCCCTGTCCGACTTCTCCCTTCATCCACTTTTCGGTTGATAACATTTCTTACAGTAAATCACTGCACATACTTAGATAGTCACACAGGAGATTTCCTAAAGGACATAAGAAACTGACAGAACGTTTGCCTCTGGCAGGGCCAATAAAGACCTGGGTGTTGGGGAGACATTTCATTGTCTACTCTTTGTATTTTTACCGTATCATGAGCATGGATTATTTTCTCAAGTCAGAAAAAAAAAGTCTAAGAAGATGTGATGTCTTTTTGTGTGTGTGATGTCTTCCTTTAAAGTGATCAGAAATATAATGCACTAGAATTTACTCAGTGGATTGAGTATTACTCAGTCATTGAAAATAATTAGAAAATCCCCAAAGCAGTATCAAAAAGCTATGTATTAATAAGCAAAGAGTAAACTACTAGTAACTGTAAACCCCCTGGCATCGAATCAATCCCACCTCATAGTGAGAGACCCTGTAAGAGAGAGTAGAACTGCCCCTTTCGGGTTCTGTGATTATCAGTCTTTGTGGGAGCAGACAGCCTCGTGGGATTGTGAAGTGGGTACCTTGACTTTGGCAGGCCAACTCCTAACCCACTCCACTACCGGGGCTCCGTATTGCAACTAACTATGTGGGCATACAAATGACTGATAATTGCTTGATACCATGGATGGATTGTGATAAGAGCTGTATGAGCCCCCAATAAAATGATTAAAGGAAGAAAACGAACAAGCAGCAAATGACTGATATATGAAGAAATGAAGGCAACAGTGTTGGGATTGTGAATAAAAGTGTTCTTTCTTTTTTCAAAATACCCTTTGGGAAACTTAGTAATCCTTTAACTGCTTACTTATTTTTTGTTAAATTAAAGGGAATTTTAGAATGGCCTTGGAGGCTGGAGACCAGAGCCAGGGCCAGGGTAAAGTGGCTGGGTTCCTAAGGAAATTGGTGTGACTGCCAGAGTCCATAGGAAAGTGAAGATTTAATCAGTGTAGCAGTGAAACTGTGCCTTCAGGCCCCTGATGTAGTAGTGGCAATGACAGTGATAACCAGCCTGGGGTGCTTACCATGTGCCATACACATCAAACAATGGTGTTTTTTCTTCTTTTGAATTTTATTTTGCGGTTGAAACTATACACAATAATACATACACCAATTAAACAGTTTTTACGCGTGCCATTTAGTGACTTTGTGACATCCTTTGAATTGTGTATAGGCATTCTCACCGTCCTTCTCTTGTTTTGACTTTTGATTGGGAATTGGGTGACGGTATGCAGAGCAGATCATAGTTTCCCATTCAACAGTTTGTGACACATTCTGATTCAGCTCATCCCTTGCAATCCCCTCAATGCACCCTCATTTATTTCAGTTCCTCCTTCTGTTCCTGTTTCCCTCTCCCCATCTTTCCTTAGGAGCCCTGCTTGCTTCGTAGTTATGCACTGGGCTATTAACTGCAAAGTCAGCAGTTCAAAACCAGCAGCCACTCCATGCGAGAGCGACTGAGCTTTCTACTTCCATAAAGAGTTGTATCTCAGACACTCACAGGGGCAGTTCTACCTGTCCTATAGGGCTGCTCTGAGTTAGCATGGACTTGTAGCGAGTGTGGCTTTTGAGTTTATCTGTCCTAACCCTTTAAACTTTGCCCTTGGGTAAGTGCTGCCCTTTGAGCTTAAACGGTTGATTATCCTAATGTGGAGGTGCTTTAGTTCCGATCCGAATGATGAGGACCATCATCTCAGGGCTCCCACCAGCCTGGGTGACCAGGAAGCCTGGTCTGTGTAATGGTTTGAGTTCTGTGCCACATTTCCTCCCTCTCTGCCCAAGACCTTCTAATGTGACCCCTTTTGGGGTAGTTCTCACCCTCCTCTTCTGAGTTGTTCCCATTAAAGTAGCCTCTAGGGCCCCGAAGGCTCTAATCTCGTCTTTGGAGTTGTGGTCACTTTGGTCCCCTGTAACTGGGTCTTAAAAGAGTATCATGCTCAAGGCAGACCTTCTTTACTACTCAAGCTAAACTGTTCTTTGATTTTAAGATGACTTTGGGAATGCTTTTGGTGTCCGTTTTAAAAATTATCTCTGGGCAGTAGTTTCAGGGGTTCTTCCTACATTCATGACTCCAGGAAGTCCGTTGTCTATGAGAATTTTAAACTCCGCTTGCATTTCCCCGCCCCCCCTATAGATTCTCCTATAGAATCTTTGGTTAAATTGTTCAAATGTGATAGCTGAGCACCATCCAATTCTCGTTCCACAGCCAAGGAGGGAGTTGTTTGTGGAGGGATGAGTCACACCTTCTATGTCCTGCGTTCCGGACTCAGTTCTTTGTTAGATAGAGACCAATGATCACAAGCACTGTACCTTCATCAGCTCTGTTAGCCCTGATGACATAGTGGGTTTAAGTGTTGTGTGGCTAACTGCAGGGTGGTGGTTCAAACCCTCCACCCACTCTTTGAGAAAAAGATGAGGCTATCTGCTTCCATAAAGATTTACACTCAGAAACCCTTTATAGGGTTGCTATGAGTTTCAGTCGACTCAATGACTCAATGAGTTTGGGTTGGTTTTAATAAACCTCAAATCAAACCAGTCTGTCTGATCCTCACGAGACTACGCGTTTTACACTGAGCTGCATGTACATGCCCACCTAGTTGGTGACAGGGTTCACAGCTTCTTCCCTAGCGGCAAGATCCCTCCTGCTTCTGCCCTCAATAAGAAGAAAAGCGCTTCTGCCACCTTCTCCGCCCTCTGATCTTGGAGGAGAGCTAGACCTGAACAGAGTCCAGCGTAGCCTGTGAAACCTAATGCTGAAGAGTGCACAGCCACACCTAGCTGAACCCAGCTTCGTGCCCTTCGCCTGCTTCCCTGCTGACTTTGTTCCCTTGTTCTTAAGGCTGCCATCAGGGTTTTGCCTCAGGAGCTGGGGAATGGGGGGAGGGGAGCAGCTTTCAGAACGCCTTCAGCCACCCATTTAAACCCCTAAAGGTTGTCCAAAGACCGAGTCCACACTTGCCCCACCCTATTTGCCTGTTGTCTTTTCTTCTTTGATAACTATGCCTTCCCCCCACCAACTCCAACCTAGAAGCCCTGATGACATAGTAGGAGTTAAGTGTTGTGCTGCTAACTCCAAGGTCAGCAGTTCAAAACCATAGGCTCTTCTTTGGGAGAAATATGGGGCTTTCTACTCCCATTAGCAGTCTTGGAAACTCGCAGGGCCAGTTCTACTTGTCCTACAGGGTCCCTGGCCTTGTGAGTAGGTATAAATTACATGGCAGTGAGTTTGGTTTTTTTGACACCCCCACCCCCACCCAGTCTGCCTGGAGATTAAATTAATTCTCAGGAATTACACCCCCCTCCCCCCCTTTTTTACTTTTCCTTTTTCAAAGTTGTATTGTCTGTCTCTAGTTACTGTTTTATTTTAACTGGTCGGTTTGTGCCTGAGATTACAGACTTTAAGATGAGGAGCAAACTAACTGTCTCACAGACAGCAGCGAATGACTAACCCAAACCCCATTGCCACAGTGGTGGATCCTGACTCCTAAGGACTTTCTGTAGGGCTCAGCAGATCTGCTTCTTTGGGTTTCCAAGGTTGTAAATCTTTATGGGGCAAAAAGCCTGAATTAGAGGTTAAATTTTGAGCACCCTGGTTTGCAGAAGGATAAAGATTGTGGTGACAGCCCCAAATCCATTTGCAGAGTCCTTACTGGGATTGCATGCTTTCTAGTCAGTAACCAAGGATGTGGATGATCTTGCCCTCACAGACTGCCTTGGAGAGCAGATTGCCCTCACCTCTCTCTAGCCCATCCCTGGGAGGACAGTCTTTCTTTTAGGGCCTTGCCCAGGTGTATCCATGATGGAGGACACTGTACTGGGGGTGGTACAAGGGATCTCGGGGTCATGAGTCATGCCCTGTCATTTTCCCCCTAACTGCCTTGGTCTGAAGGCCCTGGACCAATCTTGTAAGCCCTTCTATCCGAAGATGTACATTTCTCAATCATGGCCTCGCTCGTACTTCTGTAGTCCCACCTGTCACTGATGTGTTGATCCGCCACCAATCGTGCTTTTGTGATAGTTTCTTTTGCCCTTTGTCAAGCTTGCTATCTCAAGAAACCTTTGGATGCCGTTCTACTTCCTGTTGTGGCCTCCCTCATCTGGATGATGTTCTGTCTTTGTGGCTTTTAAGACTTAATAAATGCTCTCTTTAAGTTATATTTGAAATGGGGTCTCTTCCGGGCTCATCGTGGCTGGTGGGTTCAAACTGCTGACCTTGTAGTTAGCCCAACACAAAACCAAGGCTCTTTTCATGGGATGACAAGATGGCCATTTTACAGATTCCCTCATTTGTGGCCTTGGAACCAGTTCCTTTACTGGGAACAATGTGGACTCATGTAATCCCAGAAAAGAGACCCAACAGACGTGGTAGAGGTGGTTCGTTCCTCCATTTTATCTTCCTTCCTCCGCCCCCCCCCCCCCATTTTATCTTTCTGAAGCATTTCATGGTGGGCTGTGGCCAGAAAGGGACCTTGCTTCTGAAGGGCCCCATTAGAATTCTGTTTGAGGGTGGTGGGGGGCTACTTCCTCACCTGGGACTAACTTTCTGTTCTTTAGTTTCGCACAGTCAGATCACCCGCCTCTACAGTCGATTCACCAGCCTGGACAAAGGAGAGAACGGGACTCTCAGGTAGGCAGTGCATCTCTTTACTTTCTGCACAGAAACTCTGGCCATGTCTCCATGGCCACCTTTATCCCCAAAACAAACAGCACAGGCATCCAACACACAGAAGGCAAGAACTGATTTTGTTAGATTCCTTGGGTGAGAAATCCTCGGTCCTTGACTTCACCTGAGAAAGAATTCACGCTGATGCCTGGTTTGTGATCCAAGTGGGTTTTTATAAAGGACAGAAGCCGTTTCAGGCGTTATAGTAAACTGAACACAGGCCAGAGAGAGAGACGGAGGCCCAGCGTGCAGGACCACAGCCCGCAGGACCACAGCCCAGCCGCGAGGACCATGGAGGAGCAGCTGGAAAAGAGGGCTATCTATGATCTCAAAGTTCTAGCCTTGTGGGGCCTTCTGCTGGGAGGTGTGGTCGACAGTACTGGTTCACCCCATTGGCTGACCCACCTAGCCTAGATTGGGGCCCACCCAGGTGTACCGCCCCTCCTGGCTTGGAGCCTGAATTTGGAGCATGCTCTGTGGAGACTCTGGTCCCTGTTCTGGCTACCTAACATTTTTTCTTTTCTTGTTTTTTAATCATTTTATTGGGGGCTTGTACAGCTCTTACCACAATCCATACATACATCCATTGTGTCAAACATATTTGTACATATGGTGCCATCATCATTTTCAAAACATTTTCTTTCAACTTGAGCCCTTGGTATCCACAAGGCAATTTAATAAGCACGGCTGTGAGTAGTTTCAGCTCTCTCTGCTTACTGTTTACCACAGTACTTTCCCATTTTTTTAGAGATCATTTTATTGGGGGCTCTTACAACAATCCATACAGCAGGTGTATCAACTGTATTTGTACATATGTTGCCATCATTATTTTCTAAACATTTAATTTCTGTTTGAGCCCTTGGTATCAGCTCCTCTTTTCCCCCCTCCCATTCCCCCCCACCCCCACATTGGCTTTTATGAGATTCATTCATAACAATCCAGGAAGTCAAAGATTTTTCATTTTTGGCCCTTGCTCCTCTTATTTCTTTTTTTTTAAATCATTTTATTAGGGGCTCATACAACTCATCACAATCCATACATACATCAATTGTGTAAAGCACATTTCCCTCATCATTCTCAAAACATTTGCTCTCCACTTAAGCCCCTGGCTTCAGCTCTTCATTTTTTCCCCTCCCTCCCTGTTTCCCTCTCCCTCTTGAACCCTTGATAATTTATAAATTATTATTTTGTTATATCTTATACTGTCCAACGTCTCCCTTCACCCACTTTTCTGTTGTCCATCCCCCAGGGAGGACGTTATATGTAGATCCTTGTAATCTGTTCCCCCTCTTGACCCCACCCTCCCTCCACCCTCCCAGCATCGCAACTTGTACCACTGGTCCTGAAGGGATCATCTGTCCTGGATTCCCTGTGTTTCCAGTTTCTGTCTGTACCAGTGTACATCCTCTGGTCTAGCCATATTTGTAAGGTAGATTTGGGATCATGATAGTGGGTGGGGAGGAAGCATTTAGGAACTAGAGGAAAGTTGTATGTTTCATCGTTGCTACACTGCACCCTGACTGACTCGTCTCCTCCCCTTGACCCTTCCGTTATCCCTTCCGTTATGGGTTGGGTGTCCCACGTAGTGTCACTTGAAAGTTGAGACAGAACTAGCTAAGGCAGCTGCCCACTGGTCTGATCACCAGAGAGCAAGAGAGAGAGAGGTGGGCCTCCCTGAGCCATTTATCGCTTCGCCCTCCAATTAAACCTTATTAATCCCACATGTTCTTATTGGCTAAGTTGGCACAATAAACCTACCTATCACAGTATATACATACAGAAAGAATTATCCCAAAGAAATAGTTCACACAGTTGTAGAAGCTGGTAATTTGTAAGACTGTGGGTCAGATGTCAGGCTGGTGGCTTCTGACTTACATAGCTGTAGAGGTTAATGAACCCACAGTCAGCAAGTCAGATGACAGGCTTCTGTGATAAATGAATCTAAGGTTGGCAGGTACACTGGTAGACTGCTGATGACTCCTAAGATTGGCAGGCAATAAGACAGGTCACTGGGTCAAGTCCAAAGAACCAGAGGTCAGATGACAAGCCAAATGAAAGATACACACCCACCTAAAAGCAAACAGTCTTTTTCAGAATATTCACATATATTGGAAGCACACCACATCTCAAAGGAAACTTCCTTTCCATGATTTTGCTTGCTTATAGCAGATCTCATGGGAGATAACTCCGTCTTACCCACCAAACAAACCACTGTGAACTTTGGCTCAGCCAAATTGGCACACAGACTTAACAATTGTAGTGACATTGATTACATTCTTAGAGTTTTAGAATCATTCCTACCCTCCTTTCCTGATGTGTTCCTCCCCCATTAACTTAGCTTCACTGCCCCCTAAGTATATCTAATCTTTCAAGTTATTGAAGTCATTTTGATCCCATATAGTTCTTTTAAAAGCCTCATGCTCGGCTGCTCCAAAAGTAGTGAGATCTCACAACGATTGCTTATAGTCAATTACTGGTCGATCTATTTGTCTACCCCCCTCTCCACTGCACTTGACTAGTCTTAACCACAAAGCCTCATGTTCAAGAAGATGTATTTTATTAGTTAAACTGAACAATTATTTGGTTAAAAAGTCTTAATCCAAGGTTAATGGATTAAGTTCTGGTGCTTGTTATGCTGTTTATATGTTCAACAACAAAATAAATAAGGGTCTAGCTCAGAAGTTCTGGTGTTTGTTATGTTTATATGTTCAACAACAACAAAATAAATAAGGGTCCAAAGGCTTAGGAATAATACTCTAAGATTGAGAACTGGGTTAAGAAATAAAAGGAGCCCAACTGCGTGGACAGCTGCTCCTCCCCCCAGAAGAAATATATTTCAGAGGACAGCAATGAATCTGCAGCTCCGGGAGAGGGACATGTCTGATCAGAGCACACGGGAGCAGATGAAGGGGGAGGAAGAGAGAGTGGAGCATATCCAGGCCCGCCAAGCTTTGAGGACGATATTCCCACTCAGAGCAGCCAATCCACAGAGAAGACCACATGGCCGGCCCCACTATGAGACATGACATCCCTCACTGACACACAGTGAGGGAATTCCAGTGTGATGCCACCACACCGAGGCAAATCACTAAGGGCATGGAATAGAACAGCAAGGGGAGCAGAGCAACGAAGTCCCCAGGGAATACCAAAAATAGACTTTGGGGCCAGGGCTTGGTGCCCCAACAGACTCAACTAGAAAACACTCCTAAAGGCCAACAAACTGTCCTTGAACTAACTACAAGCTTTTCTTTCTTGTTGCTGCGATATATTTTTTTTCATTGGTTTCTTGTTGTTGTTTTATTTTGTGCTTGGCTTTGCTCTGTCTTGTTTTTGTGTATGTTACTATCTCTGCAGGTCTGTCTAAATAAGATAGGCTGGATGAACAATCTGGAGGAGAAAACAACAGGACCGACAGTTGGCCGGGGGTGGGATGGGGTGGGGGCTTGGGAGAGGGGGATGTGAGGGGAAACGTAGTGGTGTTAACAAACCCAGGAACTAGGGAACCACAAGTTATCTAAATTGGGAGGGTGTAGGAGGCCTGGTAGGGCGTGACCAAGGGTAATGTAACTGAGAGGAATTACCGAAACCCTAATGAAGGCTGAACATGATAGTAGGACAAGAGGAAAGTAAAAGGAAATAGAGGAAAGAGCTAGGAGGTAAAGGGCATTTATAGATGTCTAAATAAAGGCATGTGCATATGTAAACATTTATATATGAGGATGGGGAAAAAGATCTATGTGCATGTATATATAGATTTAATATTAAGGTAGCAGATGGACATTGGGCCTCCACTCAAGTACTCCCTCAATGCAAGAACACTTTGTTCTATTAAACTGGCATTCCATGATGCTTAAGACTAAACAGGTGTATAAGTAAATGTGGTGAAGAAAGCTGATGGTGCCCGGCTATCAAAAGATAAAGCGTCTGGGGTCTTAAAGGCTTGAAGGTAAACAAGCAGCCATCTAGCTTAGAAGCAACAAAGCCCACATGGAAGAAGTACACCAGCGTGTGCGATCACGAGGTGTCGAAGGGATCGGGTATCAGGCATCATCAGAACAAAAAATCCTATCACTGTGAATGAGGGGCAGTGTGGATTGGAGACCCAAAGGCAACCCAGGTTATCCCGCACAGCCCTGACAGTCAGTGATTGCAAAATGTCTATCATGTGCAAAACCAACCACAGTAAGGACTTTTAAAACTATATGACTTTTTACTTGAAAAATAATCAGACTAAAAATTTTGTTTTTTTCCCATTCCACTTCAATAGTTTAATACTTCCTTTGAAGTTGGAACTAAGTCTTCCCGATAAATCCAGATTTAATCACTAAGGAAATATATAAAATTCACATTCGTTTCAGCACTTTTCTCCTTTGCAGAAAGTAGGTGATTGTGTGTGTTGAGACGAATCTCACAGTGTGCTGGAAAGCGATGGGAAAGCTTTTGCAGAGGAGCTTTTTCCTTCTTGTAGCTGGCGCATCAGTTGCAGGGGTGACCTAGTGTTGTCCTACCCATGAATGGACAGGTAAGATCGACTCAGCCCTTCAGCCTCACTTCACATTCTGTGCAAAGCCAGTAAGTGTTGGTTTGGAAGATAATCATTTAGTGCCTACGATATGTCAGGCACTGATCTCTGTACTGATTTTTGAATATTCTTGAAGGAGGTGGTAGTAGGAAGTGATGGATTAATTTTTACTTCATAGTCACCTGGCTCTAATGGACTTTCTAACTCAGCTTTATAAAGTCCTGGGTTTATTTATTTATTTATTCATTTATTTATTTTAGCCCTGGATTTTAAAAGCACATTTTCTCTCCATCATAATGTAGAGTAAAACCTGAGAGAAGCCCCAGGTCACCTTGAGTTCTAGAAGAAATTACATCCCATAGCAAACAACTGTTACTTTATGTAAACCATTTTGACAGGTCCGCTCACAATCTGGTACTTCTCACTGTCTGTGCTGCCTCTC